GTTTTTAGATATGACCCCAAACTAAGATTCACAAAGAAGAAATTAAGTTGTGCTTCATTAAAATTAAAAACTATTTTGTGAAAGACCGTTAAAATAAAAATACAAGCCATACACATATGCTGGGAGAAAATATTTGCAAAATACTTATCTGATAAAAAGAACTGTATCCAAAATATACAAAGGCTTCATAAAGTTTAACAGTAAGAAAAAGACATAAGAGCCAAAAACTATGTATATCAACAAATGAACCTCAAACCACATGCAGCAAAACCTGACAGAGCTGAAAGGAAAAATGCTCAAATGTACATATATAAATAGGGATTTCAACAATCTTTTCTCAAAAACTGGTAGAAATAAGCACGGAAACAGATGTGAACGTAAGCAGGAACTAAGTGACATTAGAATACTACTCAACAAGACAGAATACTTTTTTTAAGCATCTATGAAACAGGCACCAAAATAAGACCATGTCTTAAGCTATAAATATAAAGTATGTTTCAACAATTTCAAAAGACTTGAAATCAGTGTATTCCACAATCATGACCAAGTCAAACTAGAATCCATTAACACAGAGTCTAGGGCAGTCCAGATGTCATTGGGCTGGTGGAAGTAAAAATGGAACAGAAAGTTTCCAAAATTACTGTCACTGTAATTGAAGCATTTTATATCTGCATCAAAATTCTTTTTCACAATTTCATGTTTATATTGAAATGATAGCAAATGAACAATGTTAGGGACATAAAGTAGAGTTAAAACACAGTTGTAACATAAAAACCAATGTTTAGAACACCATGTATTAAACTGAGACTAAATAATGTAAAGAAAAGGAACTCTTTACCTCCTAATGGAGTATCTAAGAGACTGGCATGCTTGGTTCTCACATGAGCTTCCATATCTTGACTACAGTCCTCTATTTTCCCACAGAATGGACATTCAGGAGGACTGTACGTTGTTGCATAAATTGATCCTTTGACCTCGGACAATCCAGACTGCTTTTCCCTACTTCTCAGGAATTTTCTAGGTTCAGTTAAGTTCTCTGAGTAAAAAGCTTCATGTTTTAAATTAGCATCTTCAGGCAGGCTTTGAGTTGACTTTTTTGGATTAGATGCACAGGCCGAATGGATACTTGAACTGACTTCAACCGGGCTCTGTGGGGTGTTGCTCCTGCTCTCTGAATTTCCATACTGTACAGTATCTACCCTCTCAAAGTTCCTTTCTGGTGCGTTCTGCTCAAAGTGAGCTGTTTCAATATGAAAACACATTTCATCATAATTTATGCCTGACAACTTGCAAAATGGACATATAACTTCATTTTCCGTGTGAACAATCAGGTGAGCCTTCATATCTGGTTCTGAGGTTACTGTTTCACCACATATATCACAGGAAAGCATGGTGGGACAGGTACCTAGAAATGACCAGAAAACTATGTAAGTTTGAAAGTAGAGGATGAAAAAAAGCATAGCTCATAAAGTGGTTTGGGACAATTCTTTGGTATTTAGAGCTATATAAACTTCGACAAAGAAAATTCCAATTTACTTACTGTTCCTCAAATATACAAACTTATTTGTAAATCTCAACCAAAATCTTGTTACAGGCTGAATATCCCTGATCTGAAAATCCAAACTCCAAATGCTCCAAAATCCAAAACTTTTGAGCTCTGACATCATGTCACAAGTGGGTCTACACCTGACTTCATATGTCAAATGGCAGTCAAACAAAAATATATGTCATATATGACACATGAATTCTATATTTAGATTTGAGTTCTATTTCCAAAATACTTTACCATGGATACCCAAAAACTTCAAAATCCTAACATATCCAAAATCTAAAACATTTCTGTTCCTAAGCATTTTAAAGGATATTCAACTTGTGCCTGAATTTCAAGTTTGTAGTTTATCAAAGGTTAATAATAGTGGAAAATAGTTTTAAGAAGAAAGTATTTCAAAAGTGTGTTTGATCCAAGGGACAGAAAAATTATATTTACTAAGTTATCCAAGTAGGATAAGATAAAATAGAAGTCTACTATACATCAACCAATTTACCTGAACATAATATTTTAAGAAAAAAATTTATTTTTATTTTATGTGTATGAGTGTTTTGCCTGCATGAGTGTAAGTGCAACCTTGTTGTACCATGTCTTTTGAAGGCCAGAAGAGGGGGTGGGATCCCCCGGAACTGGAGTTTAAGTGGGTTGTTAGATCCTCTACAAGAGCAGCCAATCCCCTTAACCACTAAGCAATCCCTTCAGCCCATTTTAAGGAAAATTATATGAGAAGTGTGAACACACCTTACGGACATAAGCTTTATATATGTCAAACTATTACTGCCGTCATTCTACACACATGGAAATCCTGAATCAGACAGGTCAACATGGCCAGAAAATTAGAAAATGGTGGACGCCAAAGTGGTACCGAGTCACGCTCCACATACTGTAGCACCCAAGGATAAAAGCAGAGGGTACTGTAGCAAACAACACTTACTCCTGGAGTCCAGGAAACTGGGTTATAGACTCTGGTTTGGTCATCTTAGCTGAGAGCTTATCCGTCTGAAATTCAGTCCATCAAACGAGTTAAACTAGATAAGCCGTGGATCAGCCACTGGGGTTTTAGTTTTGATGGGCTAATGAAGTACTACTTATACAAAGGGGTGTTAATAAAAAATTAAGTGATTACGTCGCCCCCTTTCTTCTAGACACTACTGTTCATCCGTCAAGTATTTAAGAACAAAAGAAATGTCAAGTGTGTGGCGCATGCCTTTAATCCCAGCACTCGGGGGTCAGAGGCAGGCGGGTCTCTAGGAGTTCGAGACCAACGTGGTTCTACATAGCAAGCTCCAGGCCAGCTGGGTATTTAAATTTAAATGAGGACAATTATTCCCTTCGTTGACATAGATTCAGGTTTGCAGCCTCTCCGCATTATTTTTTCGTTTCTCTCAGACAAGTGAAAATATGTTTATAATTTTAGTAGGAAATTCTCTTGACACCGTTTCTTTTCTCCTAAGGGCTGGGATCAGGTAGAGAAAGGAGACACTTGGGGGCGGACTCACAGGTGAGATACACGAAGGCCGATGAAGGGCCGGCCTGGGAACGTGGTGGTGAGTGCGGTGGGGTCCGAATCCGACGAAGTTCGGCGCCTACGGACCGAGAGAGAGCAGCAGAGTAGCCCCAAGTCCCCGCAGGCTGGGGACTCGGCTGCGCCGGACCTGCTCCCACCCGACAGCCAGCTGCCCCCCTCCCCCCAGCTCCCGCCCCCCAGCCTCCCGCCAGGCACCGGGCCACAGCCTCCCTGCGAACCAAAGGAGAACCGCGACTCCAGGAACCCTGCTCAGGACCGTTTTTCAAAAATGCACTTCCTCCATTGCCCGGAAGGGAAGGGGTCCCAGCATGCCCCGCGCCATGCAGGTCTGGGAGGTAGTGCCTTCTGGGAGTCGTAGTTATTTTTCACCTTCTTCCCGGGAGCTGTTTTTTTTTTTTTTTTTTTTTTTTTTTTTTTCCCATCCTCCTGTCAAAGTTTCCATACCACACATACTAGAAGAGAGAAACTAAGCTGAGATTCCTAAAACGCCACCTGAGTAAATCCATGGGGGGATTCCACAGTAAACACGTGTCTCTACGCATTGTCCGGGGCCTGGCTGAGTAGCATTAATTTTAATTTTTTATGTGTATGAGTGTATTGACTCATGCACATGAGTCAATGTATATATGTAAGTGCACTCATGTCGTGCAATGCCCACGGAGGTCAGACGAGGACCTTGGACCCCGTGAAACTGGAGTTTTGTTAGCTGGTTCTCTGCAAGAGCAGCCAGTACTCTTAATTGCTGAGCCATCTCTCCAGCCCCTAATAAAAGGTTTTTAATATTACAAAGTGTCAGGCTTTAAATTATGTTCTGCCAAAGGAAGTTAATTAAGGAGGCTGCTTCCTCAAGGTTTCAAAATAGTTTTCCCTTATAGTTGTCGCTCTGTGATTATCCCACAAATATTTAGAGTGCCAATCAGAAGCATTCCCTTTAGAAATGGAGGTACCCTCGAAATTAAAATACACAAAATACAGTACATTCTGACGACACACAGAAAAGTAAATAAACCAAACTTGACAAATGTTATAAAAAAAATAAAAATGAGTTATAGAGATACCAATATCAGAAAAACTCATATGTTAGGGTTCCAAACAGCAGCAGTTTCCCCCCTCCCCAACAGGGACCTCACCTTGACCTTTGAAGTCCAGGGAAACAAACTCTGCTGAGAAGCAGCCTGCCTTTCCTCTGACCTCCAAAGATAAGATAAGCAGATTCTACCTGATAACCAGAGATTTTAGAAGATGTTTTTCTCTCATCTTAAGAGGGAAAAAGTAAACACTTCCACACCCTAATCCTACCTGCTTCCCCCTCCCTGATTTCTCCCCCAAACAACCCCCCCTTCCCCACCCCAAAGGCCCCATATGTAAAGTCCCAGCTCACAACCCCTGAGCTGACATCTTTCCCTTCCCGAGGGAAAGGTGCCCCATGCGAAATAAATCTGTGACCCACTGAGGATTCCATCTGAGCCTCCATGCCTCATCCATCCGCTCGTGCCTCCTCCATCTGCGCCGCTCACTCCCGCCCATTCTCTACCTATCAGTAGTCATACCAACTTACCTTCCCTGCTTTCCCTTCCCTTCCTTTCCCTTCCCTGACATCTTTCCCTGACATCTTTCCCTTCCCCGAGGGAAAGGTGCCCCGTGCGAAATAAATCTGTATCCCGCTGAGAATTCCACCTGTGCCTCAGTGCCTCATCCATCCGCTCGTGCTCTCCACTGCACTCTCACCAACATTTTTACCTATCATCATATAGTGTCAAAAAATCTTCTTTCAGATACTAATGTTGGAAAGTCCCCTTATAGAGATACTAATGATGTTAGAAAAGGGTCTGTTTTAGAAGCTGAATGTGCTGATGTTCAAACCTTACACCTGTCGCGAGCCGGGACTCTGTCCAGCAGAGTCCAGGAAAGACGACACAGACACCAAGGTGAGGTTCAAGCTTCTGTTTCTCTTCCTTCCTTTATTCTCTCTTATTCTCTCTCATATTCTCTTCATTATCTCACCCACTATGATGCTGCTGCCGCTCTTATTACACACATCAGCTCTTTATATAGCGTTTCCAACAGCCCTCCCCCCAGCCAGGACCAATCAGGGCACACACACGCGTAGCGGGCAGGCAGAGTGGCAGTTCATTGGGCCACGTAGCAAGCTCTTCAGGCAGGCAGCACCTGTTCGGGCTCACCATGCTTCAGAGAGTTGGAGTAAACAAGCGAGAATCACGAGCCTTGGCAATCAGCCAAGAGTTGAAGTAAACAGCACGAGGTTTGACAGCCAGCCAGGGCGCCATCTTTGGCTGGCTAGGCCGTACTCACTTCCCACATACACCAAAACAGGAAAGGCACTTAACAAGAAGGAAACCTAAACCTGGGTCAACAAGAACCGTTAGAGGGAAGACTGATTACAAAGCGTTGTCAGAGTTGCAAACAGTGGTCAATCACTTAGGACCCTGGAGAAAGCTATTGTATTTAAATAGAAGGGTGGCATAATCTGATTAGTATAATTTTGTAAATGATGAGTGCTGTGATTAAACGTCCTACATTGTGCAAAATATATGTGTGGGTTACTTTTTGTCAACTTGAACAAACTAGAGTCACTTGGGAAGAGGGAACTGCGACTCAAGAATTTCCCAAATCAGACTGTTCTGTGGCCATGTCTGTGAGTTATTTTCTGATTGTTAGCTGATGTGAGAGGAACTGTGGGTGTTGCCATCCCTAGGCAGGTCAGCCTGAGCTGGTATGAGAAAGCTGGCCAGTCAAACCAGGGATAAGCAAGTCAGTAAGCAGGGATCCTCCATGGTCTCTGCTTCAGTTCTGCCTCTAAATTCCTGCCTTGGCTTCCCTCAATGATAGACTGTAATCTGTAAGCCAACTTCTCCTCACAAGTTACTTTTGATCATGGTGTTTATCACAGGAACAGAAACCAAATTGGAATAATATATTTCTCTGCTTCTAAAGGATAGTAAAAGATTAAAAGTCTTAATAGCATCTAATGATTATTATTTTGGTCTTTTTGAGACAGGGTCTCCCTCTAGCTCCATCTGACCTGGAACTCATTATGTAGACCAG